TTAGACAATCATGTGTTGTGTTTTTCAGTCTTGCATAAGAAAAGACATGTTATGATCTGGTTATTTTATCTTTAAGTATTTATTTCACAGTGCAAAGTGGCATATGTTGTGATAGCAGATCACTTCTGTATCATCCACACCATTACAGAGACTATACCACTGTTGCACATCTACTGAGTGTCTCTGTTGTTGCGTCACGTCAGGTTACGTCTTCCCCCGTGGCTCAAGACAGAGATCCCCATCGGAAAGAACTTCAACAAGCTGAAGAACACGCTGAGAGACCTCAACTTGCACACAGTAAGTGTCACATCTGTCACGTCTGTCAAGTGACACAAATAGTTATGTCTGTGTAGTCGGATTTCTACGACTCTCAAACAAGAAATATGAACAGTCCCTTCTTACATGAGACTCAGGCCCCTGGTCTCTTTCAAAGAGCTGGCAAGGTCTGACAATAATATGATTTAAATGTACTTTAATAGTATAGATTGTATTGTTTGTTTTCAGTCATAATTTGAATGAATGATTTCCTCTGTTGTATTAAAAAGATCTAATTTGGTGAATGGGCAGAAACCCTGGGTTAAAGTTTGTCTGTTCCCTCAGGTGTGTGAGGAGGCCAGGTGTCCCAACATTGGAGAATGCTGGGGAGGAGGAGAGTACGCCACCGCCACAGCCACAATCATGGTCAGTCTCCTGGCACACTGTGACTCTTCATGTGCAGCTGACAAGATTTTCTAAAGCAACTAAACACTTCACTATAAAGTCCTTCTCTGTAGGTCTAGTACATCTACACAAGCCAATATTCTCAAAAAAGCAAAACACAGTCTGAATACACAGTTTGTTGATGTTTCACAGAAAGATGCACAATTCAAGATACACATGTTGAATAAATCTGCACCTGTGCATCAGTAACATATTACAAGAGAAGCCGTATGATGCATTTCTCTCTTTGTCACGTAGCTGATGGGAGACACATGCACCCGTGGCTGCAGGTTCTGCTCGGTAAAGACAGCCCGTCGTCCTCCCCCTCTGGACCCAGACGAGCCCTACAATACAGCCAAGGCCATCGCCGCCTGGGGGCTGGACTACGTGGTTCTCACCTCAGTGGACAGAGACGGTAACGACTTCTCATCCCCAGTGTATCTAACTCTCCCTGCTGTTTGTGACACTTCACGTCGTAGGAAGGTGTAAAACTGTAAAAGGAACCAGTCTCAATGTTGGAAGATCAATAACGTCAGATTAATGTGACGTCTGGAATTTACTTTGCTAAATAGATTCATGAATTCATGCAGAAGCTCAGAGTAAAGTTTGATGAGGCTTTATTTGGCAGTCGTCAGCCTCTAAATAGATAATTTCTGGCAACAATAGTGCATTCTAATGACACTTCTTCATTTTGTGAGCAGATATCGCTGATGGTGGAGCAGAGCACTTTGCTAAGACAGTTTCTAACCTGAAGGAAAGGTAACATCTCCCCTCACGTTTGGATTTATTCTGTATTTGTATCTAGATATCTGTGAAAAATTACCAAATGGACATATCTTTGTCATCTTCCTCCAGAAACTCTCAGATCCTGGTTGAATGTCTGACTCCAGATTTCCGTGGCGACCTGGCAGCAGTGGAGAAGATCGCCCTGTCAGGTTTAGATGTGTACGCTCACAATGTAGAGACTGTGCGGGAGCTGCAAAGGTAAGAAGACTTGACATATTGCTTCTGCAGCTTTCCAAGATGTAGCTCCTGTGTTGTTATAAAATAATACATTAAGAATCTATTTTCAGTTAAATCCATCAGCTCTTCAGTTTGATTTTAATGGTTCTTATCAGCCAACAGGTCTAAAGATACAGAGTAAAGACGTTTTTATTGAATTTTATGTTAAGAAGCACTGTAAAATGTGATACTAGTTCAAAAGTTTTCAATCTTTATTTTGGATTTAGAGATTTTTCTTGAGATGTTTTAATACCAATTATGAAATTAATATATAAAATAACAAAATAATAATTTGTAGCAAATATGTTTTTTTCCCTGTTGAGTTAACTAGTTAAAATTTTAAAAACTGTAAATCTATTTTTCTCCCTCATTGCAGTTTTTAATTTCAATTTACAAAATAATCTCGTACTGCACATACAACACTTCCTTTTTTGCAATTTTTAAGCAAGCGTTTTTTTAGTTTGTGTTTTAAATGTTTACTGCCACAGGAGGGGGCCAGTCACAGAGAAGATAGTAATAGACACTTGACCAGCAGATGATGCAGAAGAGTCATTTCCCTGCTGTTGGTATAAATGCTCTGTGTTCTGTAGCAAACACATTGAAGACATCTTGTTTTACATTTTTTCTCTGTGTGGGTATAAAGTAGATTTCACTCTCTGATGTTTTTTTCATTGACTCAGGATTTCTTTCTGTTCCATCTTGTTGTCAGACACGTGCGTGACCCCAGAGCAAACATTGACCAATCTCTGAGCGTTCTGAAACACGCCAAGAAGGTCAATCCCACTGTGCTCACCAAGACCTCCATCATGCTGGGACTGGGAGAGACGGACCAACAGATACTGGACACTTTGACTGGTGTGGTGAACATTCACTAGTCACACATGCGCACTCAAAACGATCTGATCTAAACTACAGACTAACGATTTCCTGATCGCACTGTTGTTCTGATGTTGCAGAGCTGCGAGAGGCGGAGGTGGACTGTCTAACACTTGGCCAGTACATGCAGCCCACAAAACGCCACCTGAAGGTGAGCACATTAGACTCTGTGTAGTCTGTGTGGGACTGATTTACCACGAGAGCAGCACATTTGATAAACTGTGTGTGTGTGTGTGTGTGTGTTTGTGTTTGTGTTTGTGTTTGTGTGTTTGTGTGTGTGTGTGTGTGTGTGTGTGTGTGTGTGTGTGTGTGTGTGTGTGTGTGTGTGTGTGTGTGTTTGTGTGTGTGTTTAGGTGGAAGAATACGTCACTCCAGAGAGGTTTGCCCACTGGGAGAAAGTTGGCACTGAAATGGGCTTTGTTTACACAGCCAGCGGACCCCTGGTGAGATCCTCATACAAAGCAGGTGAGATATGGTATTTACAGCATCTACAAACAAAATGACTTTATTTTATTCATATTTCATTCTAAAGTTACGGTACACCCAATTCATCATTGTAAAGGTTAGGTGTTTAGGGGATTAATGTCATTTACAAAATAAAGGTGATAGATTTGGGATTTTGTGAAATAAATGATTAGAATTAAGATGGGATAAGAGAGGGAGACATTAGGAGTCTACACTGGAGTCATTTCTTATTCATTCAAAGTATTTTATTTTGAAGGGCGATGCAGGGATGTGGGGGGGTGGGGGTTAAGCAGCACAGACAGTGATGTTATGTGATGTCCTTGGGGATTATTTAATACAATGAATAATAAAGTTAAGTGGCAAAATGTTTGGTCAAACTGACCCTTAATACTTGAAGTCTTCAGGTTTTCTTTCAATATAACTACAAGCACACAAGCATCATGTAAAACAGGGCAGAATGTGAGAGGAGAGGGAGACGGATGTTTTTAATTTGCATTCTTTGCACAGGCGAGTTCTTCCTGAAGAATCTACTGGAGAAGAGAAAAGCTGAGATGACTGTAACAGAATGAAAAGCACAGAACTACTGTCTGTTCTGCGTATAACTTTAACCTCGTCTTTACCTTTAATCACACATAATTACAGGATACGCTTTACTACTAGCAGGACCACAATGCATTGTTGTTAGTCATAGAAGAGGAAACACATTTATCTTAATGACTGGTAACAAGTTAAATAAGGATGCAGAAGTAATGTTAACATTCTGTTACTTTTCAATACGCTTCACTTTCCTTTACTGCTCGTGTGTGAAGACCCAGAGTTCAATGCAGGAGGAGTTCAAAGTGTATAAGGAGCAGTAAAAGGCCTGCAGACATGCAGATAACCAGGGTGCAGACTCTGTCCACGTCAGTCCAACAGGAAAAATTCAACCTGCTGTGATCAGCAGCTGTAATTTACCATGTCTGCATGTCAGGGGCCCCTAAATCACATCCAGCCTCAGCTCCCTCCCCTCAGGGGCTCTGGACTCCAGGTAGAGAGCCACTGACCTTTGACAGCGAGCTCAGTTTACGAGCACTTTGATGTTAACCTGGTTTCAGGACTTTCATTTAATTTAATTAAGCAACAAGTTTTTTGATCCGAGGTTCCTCGCAGGGACTCAGTCAGGTGATATTACATTTGCTACTAAAACAAATCTAAACCTGCGAAGGAATTCCTGTACTTAAACTGCTTTTTTCTAATGTGATCAAATTAAAATTTCACACCCAGACAAGAAAGATGTAAATTTATTTCACACACTGGTTGTTTAAATAAAATAAATGAATTCTTATAACTTGTCCGCTACAGTTCTGGTTTGTACTATTTCGACAATGACCCTGTTCCCATCATGTACTAACATCTGTCCTAACGAATCCAATCACAAGTGGTCAGCATTAAGTACAGGTCTGAACGCACCATCACTCAAACCACGCCTGGAGGTGGTCTGTGTCACATTAGGTCACATTCTTTCCAGCTGATGTCCTTTGATCTGCTATATTCAATCCAATTAAATTAGATTTGTGCAGCACCAAATCACAACATGCAGTATCTCGAGGCTCTTTACGTAGTAAGATCGAAACCTTACAAAATAGGAGAGAAACTTAACACCTCCCACGATGAGTGAGCAATTTGGCCACTGTGGAGAGGACAAGCTCCCTCACTAACAGAACCAGACTCTGTGGGCGGACATCTGCCTCGACCAGTTGGAGTTAGCAGAGAAAAGTGGGGAGAGAAGGGGAGAGGAGAGATGGCAACAGTTCAGTCAGACTAGATGTTAAACTGAAAACTGCGAGAGTGATATTTGTAGACGTAATCTTGTAGATGACAGCAGCAGCAGTTAAGAATAATTGTTGAGTTGTGTCACATCTGCAGCTCTGAATCACTGCATCAACATTTTCTTTCCGTTTAATAAAAACGAGGCACAATTTAAGGACACACTTCACATTTTATTGCATTGGCCCTTTTAGTAAACAAAGTCACTGACAGAGGACACATACTGATTAACATACAGTAAGATGATTTATAAAAATATTTTTTAAAAATGTATAAAAGTTTATGATTTTACAGTAAATACTGTAGGAAAGCAGACTCACTGAGAGTGTTTGAAAGTGATGACCTTGCATGTGTACCTACACTGAAATGTTTGGTTCATTAATGCTGTTTAACATGAAATGCATAAAATTACGTCTGTGCTTGGAATGATTTGTCACTGAAGAGGTTTAACGCAGCTCTTGTTCAAGTCCTGTTTCGCCTTTAGGAGGAGAAGGCGTGTACCGACAGAGGTGAATGACATTTCACCCACAATATAAAGGTTGAGAGGGAATGTGGAGCGCGTGTGTGGTGGTGGGGGTTTACACTTTGGCTTTCTTTGGGGGAGGCTCAGTGGCACCGATGCGAGGACAAACAGCTGCCGGGCTGTAGGGGATTCTCGTCCCTGTCACCTTCTTACCGATGGTCTCGATCTGCAGAGAGAAAAAGCATTAAAATAAAAGCATCTGAACTGTGTTTGGTACCGACTGTCTCACTGGTTCATGTCAACGTTGTATGAAAAGTGTGTGTGAGGTGTGTTTTCCTTCTGCGCACCTGGAAGCCGATGCTCTGGAGGTCCGGGTGGAGGTGGTCCAGCACTCTGCGACCGTCAAATATAAAAGCTGGTTTCAGCATCTTCTTGTAGATCTTCTCATAGTCCAGTTCCTTTGTTGGAATTTAATTGGTGTGAGTTTCAAATTAGAATATTTACAGATTCATTCTGGGTGAAGCTGTTTTATATGTAAAAAAGAATCTTGTTATTCTGACCTTAAACATGTCCCATTCAGTACAGATGACCAGAGCGTGTGCACTTTGACAAGCCTCATACGGGTCTGAGGTCACGGTCACCAGCTCTGACACTGAGAAAATGTAAATAATAAAACAATAAATGACCGACTTGTTCTTTGTGAACAATAAACCATGTAGTTTCTGTTAAAGTTATTACTGACCACTTGTTGAATTCAATTCCTTTAACTTCTTCTTAAAATATGTACTAATGATAATTGTTAACCATCACGTGAATCTGTGAAAATAAGTTCTATCTGAAGCTCTATATAACTTATCTTTGTTTGAGATTCATTTTTCTCTCATTTTATTGTTCAATCTATCACTAACTATAGCAATATTTATCCTGAGCAGAAATACTCTTATTGGTTGGCTTTTGTGTGCGATGGGGATATATAAAATCCAGCAGTGATGGAAACATGACCCCTGGATGAGCACCCTAATTTCTTCTTCTACTTCTTTATTTAGACAGTCAGTATTTTTGGTGTAAAAGAGTAGTATGTTGTATGTCATCTCTGTTTCTCTACTTTCGCTTCCTGTAAACTCTCTGCTGCAGCTTATGTAAGCTAAGGTGGAACAGTCTTACATTGCAGTTAAGTCACACACCTCTTTCTGGGTTGTCCTCCGAGATGTGGGGCTGGGAGAGGTCATGCATGATTTGTTCTTTGAGAACCTTGGGGTCATATATGAAGAGCTTGGCTCCTTCATCCATCAGATACTTTGAGATGTAGATACTGGACGACTCCCTGGAGTTGCGACATTTAACAAACACACTAGTAAGTCAAGTGTCCACCTTTCCAGGGCCATAGTTCACCACAGTTGTGTCTGTACAAAGGCTACACACAAGGGTTGTCAGGGCTCTAGAGGCTTTTTATGTAAACAGTGTTGAATTCATTATTAAACTGACAGAGAAAGAAAACCAAGTAACTGGAGAGTAACAAACATTTATAAAAAGGTGTGGAGAGACTCACCTTGTGTCACCAGTGTCTTTCTTGAAGGAGAAGCCAAGCAGAGCGATCTTTTTACCAGTAACAGTGTTGAAGAGGCAGTCAATGATCCTGCAAGCAAACCGCCGCCTCTGGTACTCATTCATGTCTATCACCTGAGGAAACACATGACACACACATTAAGAATGAGCTAAATCCTAAAGAAGAGTCCAAAATGAGGTGCAAGCCAGTTTAGTTCTCACCTGCTGCCAATAGGAGGCAACCTCGGGCAGGTTGAGGGCCTCGCACAGATAAACCAGGTTCAGGACGTCCTTCTGGAAACAGCTTCCACCAAAACCTGGCCAGGGTGCGACAGAGGCAGTGAGACAGAAGACAACAATCTATTTCCCCAGATAGAGGCTCACCGAACATCGTACAACTACGAATCTTTTCACACAAACGCTCACTGAAAACATCTTACAGTCATGTCACTTACCCACGCTGGCTTTTAGAAACTTGCTGCCTATTCTCTGGTCCATCCCAATCGCCTTGGCAACCTCTTCCACATCTGCTCCGGTGGCTTCACACAGCGCACTGATACTGTTGATGCTGCTGATTCGCTGTGCCAGGAATGCATTGGCTGCCTACACACACACACAATGTTTATTTTTTTACAACAAAATAACACAGCATTAGAGCTGCAACGATTAGGCTAGTAATAAGTAAAAAGTCAACTATTAAGACGACCAGGCAAAAATATTAGAATTTGACAATTTTCTTGTCATTTATAGAGCTTAAAAAATTTGATGATTAGTTGTTTGAAAGAAATTCATTGCCAATTATTTTGGCACTTTGATTTGATGGCTTCTGGTTTCCAGGTGTAAAAATCTGTTGCTATTCTTGCTTTTACATTGTAGGAAATTAAAATTGTATTAGTGCAATTAATAAAAAAAAAACATTTTGAGACGAGAAAACTTGAGAAAACTATGGCAGACATTATTTTTCGTTGCTTAATTCTTAGTTGCTGTCATGGTCAAGTATGATCCGCTGAATCTTGGGGTTTTACACAAGAGGAAAGATAAATGAGAAAATAAAACTGACTTTAATGACAAAAATATGTATTGATTAAGAAAAATGAAGCAAATGAACTAATAATACCAGTTTGGACAGCTCGGACGACCATGTGTTGGTGGTGATGATTCTTGCTTTGGGAACCCAGTGTTCATAGACGGCACACAGAGCTCTGATGGCTCTTTGACCTTCAGACGTTTCATCTCCGCCAATCAGGACACGGTCGGGCTCCCTCAGATCCCGCACTGCAGTTCCCTCTGCGAGGAACTCTGGGTTGGACAACACCTGAAGCAGCAACACAACTTTAGCAACATGTCACAACAGATCTGACCGCTTTTTGTATTTGTCATAATACACACTTGTAGGTTAAGGCTGGGCTTGGTGTTGGCATCAAATATCCGTCGAATACTCTCAGCAGCTCGAACTGGGACGGTGCTCTTCTCTGTGACAATCTTGTAGCCATCAGACACCTCCACGATTCGCCGGGCACAGGCCTCGATGAACTTGAGGTCAGCCGCGCGACCCTTTCCCATCCCGTAGGTCTTTGTCGGGGTGTTAACCTGTGGGGATAGGATATGTTAGAAATGTTTTTTTCTTGAGATGTTTAAACAGCAGAAACAATTCAAAAATGTATTTGTATAGCACCAAATCATAATATATATTATCTCAAGGCACTTAACATAGAAGGTCAAAACCTTAAAATCTTTTTAATATAGAGAAACACAACATTTCCCACAATGAGCAGCACTGTGGCGACTGAGGAGGAAAAACTTCCTCATTAACAGGGAGAAACCTCGAGCAGAACCAGCCTCAATGTGGGTGGTCATCTGCCTCTCCCGGTTGGGGTGAGTAACCAAACAGTGGTGGTGTTTTGTTGTCGGGGCGGGACCGATGAACTCACCGAGATAAAGACGAGGTCAGCTTCCTTGATGGCCGTGTCTATGTCTGTAGAGAAAAACAAATTTCTCCCTCTGGATGATTCGACTACATCTTTCAGGCCCGGCTTGAGTGGGAGGAGGTGGGAAATAAGACAGAAAGTGTGTGTCAGAGAACGTGTAAGAAAAAAAAATCCGTAGCACAACTGGTTAACAAACGTAGCTCATAGTGACTGGATATGAACTACTCATGATGATGCAATACCCTGTGGGCAAGGTTGACGTAGAGAAGTTACAAAACAGTCTGGGATTCATTTATGTTGATTTTCGCCCATGAAGGAGTCATATTGTGTAAAACATTGTCTTTGCCTAGCAACATCTACTTATTAAGACACCGATAGAACTACAGAAACAAATTCAAGCTTAATAGAAGTCTTCTTGGACAATAACATTTGCCGAACCTCATATATGGGCAGAGTTTCTGAGTTCCAGGCTTTGATGCGGGACTCGTTGACATCCACGACAGTCACTGTGATCTCTGGACACATGTGGGCGATCACACTGCATGTCGGGCCTCCTACGTATCCAGCACCAATGCAGCAGATCCTTTTTATCTGAAACATCTGGAAAATATAAAGACAATATAAAT